CTGGTGAAGTGATACCTCATTGTGGTTTGGATTAGACCAGGCAATATTGTGGCTGCTTCTTTTTGTGTGTGTGGTTGCTTCTTTGATGACCTGTGCTCCTCAGTACCTTGAAGGCTTGTAAGGCCAGCGCCTGCGCCTGTCTCAGTCACCTCCATGTCTTCTCCCCCACGGTCAAATATGGCCAAGAAACGGAACAACGAGAGTGAATGAAATCTGGTCCAGGTGTCTTTTCAGACCCCAGGTCCAGGCGTTGCGCGTGTGAAGCAGGCATCATCCACGCTGCTAACAGGCCTGGGTGTGCTCCCTCCGTGGCTGACCTGGGAACGGGCCAGTTCTTTGCGCCACTTTCCCCGGTACGGCCATTTGCCTTCAGGCGATCTTTAAGCCACTCTTGCACCTAACGTAGACCTGACCCTGCACCTCATAACCTACCTGACAGCATGCAGGAGGAGGTGCGGTCACACACCTAGACAGCGGAGACAGGCACCTCGTCCAGAACATTTGCAGGTGACAACAGGCTACAGTTTTAGGAGACTTCAAACTTTTCTCACTTCCTTGTGCAAAATATACTCAAAATTTGTTTGCATCATCTCAAAAGAAATGCCATTTGAAAACTTGGCAGCACCCCTGTCTTATGGGCCCTTTAGAAACACAAAAAAAAAAAAAAAAAAAAAAAAGAAACGCATTAACTCAAAGTTGACGCAGGGGAGTGAGCAGACAAGTGTGTGTGCCAGTTTGTTTTGAGTGACTATAGAGCAGCATTTGGTCAGTTGGTAGTATGGGTCAGGGGGGCGTCCCAGGCCCAGCAGCCTGCTCTGCCCTTATTCCTGAACATGCCCATTTGGTCTCACGGAGAGCATAGGAGTCTCTGTACTTACCCATCGCTTTTTCTAAAGGCTAGCACAGCCCGCGGCGTGAAAACACTCATCCACCCCGGTGTCCTGTGTGGCTGTGCACTGAGGGCAGGGAGTGAGCAGTGAGCCTGACACTCCGCCTGCTGGGCCTTCCGGGACCCTCCCACTCTCTGCAGTGCTTGGCCCTCCACAGAATCCTCTGAGGTCTCTCAAAGTCAAGGTCACTGGCAAAGGGAATCATGGATTCAGGATGGGAACCCTGGTCCCAGGCTCCCAGTCCAGCCCTTCCCGCATCTGTTGGCCTTGCTTGCCCACGGCCACCTGGGACTCCCCGAGGGGTGATGTGAGCCTGTAGCATCACACCCCTGTTCTGGGTGTTGGACATGGGTCAGTGTCGAGGGAAGGATTGTTAGTGTGGTGAGGGGTGAGGTGCATAGCGCGCAGGGTCTCAGCAGGGACATTTTACAGTTTTGCGGCTTCTAGACTGAAGTGACTGCCCTAAGACTCAGACCCTTGCATTGTCACTGAGCCACACCAGCCTTCCTCCAAGAGGGCAGGCACAGCCATCAGACTGCTGGCTGAGTGGCAGCAGCCAACTTTTTGTGCCTGCGCTCCTCTCTGGAACCAGAGCCTTCTAGCTCTTTAATGACACATGGGGAGTTTCCCTATGCAGTTACTTTATGGTCTCTGCCTCAAGGGAAACTGAGGCTCAGAAGGGTTTAGAACAGCCGTGGGCAAACTACAGCCCACGGGCTGAATGCGGCCCGTTTGAAATGAATAAAACTAAAAAAAAAAAAAAGACCGTACCCTTTTATGTAATGATGTTTACTTTGAATTTATATTAGTTCACACAAACACTCCATCCATGCTTTTGTTCCGGCCCTCCGGTCCAGTTTAAGAACCCATTGTGGCCCTCAAGTCAAAAAGTTTGCCCACCCCTGGTTTAGAAACTTACTCACGTTCACACAGCTACTACCTAGGGTTAAAACCAATTTATTGCTTTTTAAACGAAGTTATTCAGATATGCTTGACATCTAAAAGGCTTTACATATTTAATGCATATGATTCAGTGAGTTTGGGAATAAGCATATACCACTAGCCCTACTCGGTTTGATGCAGCGAATAGAGCAGACGAAAGGGTCTCCTGTTCAGTTCGGGTCAAGGGCACGTACCTGTTGCAAACTCGATCCCTGGCCGCAGTTGGGGTGTGAGCAAAGAAGTGTGTGTGCCAGTTTGGGAGGCAATCAGTCAATGTGTCTCTCTCACACTGATGTTTCTCTCCCTTTGTCTCTCCCCCTCCCTTCCGCTCTCTCTATAAATCAATGGAAAAAATCTCATGAGGTGAAGATTAACAACAACAAAACAAAATGTATATAACCCTGAAACCATCACCACCATCAAGGTCATAGATTTACCTATCACCTCCCAAGGTTTCCTCCCACTCTTTTTTTTATTCTGTGTGTGGGGGAAGGGAAAGAACACTTAACATAAGATTTGCCCTCTTAATGTACCTGGGTTGCGGGCACATCCCCAGTAGGAGATGTGCAGGAGGCAGCTGATCGATGTTTCTCTCTCATCGATGTTTCTAGCTCTCTATCTCTCTCCCTTCCTCTCTGTAAAAAGTCAATAAAATATATTTAAAAAAAAAAAAAAAGATTTGCCCTCTTAGCCCATTTTAAACATACCATGCACTACGGTGCTATAGTATACTATACTATACTATACCAGAACTTATTCATCTTGCATACCTGACACTTTACCTTACCCTTCGACCATCACGTCCTCATTCCCCTCCTCTCCGCCCCTTGAGACCACCATTTCACTCTCTGCTTCTGCTTGTACGAGTTTGGCTCTTTTAGAGTCATACACGTGAGATCATACACTATTTGTCTTTCTGTGTCTGGCTTCTTTCACTAAAACCAATTCCTTGACTCCCTATACTGTGTGTTTATTTCATCTCATTGTCTCAGATTTCATCAAAAATCCCACTCACCAGCCCCTTTCCAGGACACCTCTGTTGGGGAGGAAGTAGGTGTCAGGTCCCAGCCGGCGCCGGAGGTCAGAGAGCCATTCGTCTGATGTGGCTGGGGAAAGGAGATCTCCCCAGGCCCAGCTCCTCCGTCCCTGCAAAATGTCACCATTTCAGATGTGACTGCACTGTGGACGTTGAGTCAGCCACATTCGGGTTCGAACGCCAGCTCTGCCTTAAACCAGCCACTTAAGTAGCCCAGTCACTGCTGTGAGCAGGAGGCAGCGTCCGTCACAGCCGTGGCAGAGTCAGCCTGGAAATAAATGGATGTTCAAAGTCCTGGCGCTAGAACTGGGGTCTCTACAGTAGAGCCTGTAAGTTGGAGAAGGCTCAGCACCCCACAGGGGAACGGACGGGGTGCGGGGACAGAGAAACACAGTTCGGGTTTAAGGCCTAAGCCAGAAAGAAGGGCAATGGTTATGGAACAAGACATTGTTAAATTTTGGCTGTATTTACTAATGAAGACATTTTTAAATTAGCAGCTTTTACTGTTGCTTTATTTTAAAAGTATCATGTGTTCTTTATAGATAAATTAGGAAATACAGAGGCAAACACGCACACACACACACACAATCACCATCACCACAGTCCCATCACAAAGAAAGCCTTAGTCTTCCTGAGTTCTTTTCTGCATATTCTATTAGTCCATATGAGTTTTCTAAATTAGAGATCATACTCTTCCAAACCACTAGTTATTTTTGGGAACCTACCAGATGTTACAGCGTCTTTCCGTGTTAATAAGACTACATCTCCACCCTGATTCGAAGGGGCTGCCTCCTATCTCACCATAAGGTTGGGCCACTTTCTATTTGAATTCTGCATGGAAAGGTGGGCTAGTGGGTGCGGCGTGAGAGGAAGAAGGAACAGAGGGACACTACCCAGAGTCCGGGAACTGGTCATTCTTCCGGGTGCTCTGTTCTCTGCACACAGCTAGTGTCAAGTTTGGATGCCCTTGATCAGACAGAAATTTTGTCCCCTTTGCTTTCTGGTCAGTCAGGGACCCTTGGCCAGAAGTTTTCCAATGTGTCCTATGCAAACACCAGTAGAGAGGACAGGCAACCATGTGGCCAGGCTGGATGAATGTGCATGTGGGGGAGGGGAGAGGACCAGGAGGAGGGCTGACCTCTCCCCAGCACCGTGGTCCCCAGCAGCCCCGAGCTCAACAGCACTGAGCAGAGTCCAGTGTGAGAGGCAGGTCTAGTCCACAGCCCTGTTTTCCTCTGTGTGGGATTCTGTTGCCCACCTAGTTCAGGGCTCTCCCCTCTCGGGGAGCACCACAAATGAGAATTAAACTGAATCCCATTAGTGCTAAATGAAAAAACCCACAGAGTAAGGTCAGTAATGCCAGTGGTTGCCATTGGCCTAGACAAGGCAGAAAGAAAATGCATCTCATGGAAAAGAGCCCTCAAGAACCGTCAAGATCTTGGAGAGCTGACAGTGCTGACTGTTCATTGTGGGCCAGATTTAAAACGGCCTGGCCACGTCCCCACAGCCACAGGTGGCAGGGTGCCCACAGACCACATTGGGACCCTCACAGAGGGTCTCATGGTGTGGCCTGGCTCCGATGGGTGCAGCCTCAGCTCTCCATCTGCAACAGGAGGGGTTGAACTAAAGGGTCTTAGAGTCCCTTCCAGCTTCCCAAGGTCTCCGAATCTTGGGAGCCGCCCAGGTTTCAGAAGGATGTTAAATGCCTTTGGCAGGAGGCTCTCCAGTGTGATGCAGAGTTTCGTCCAGGAGTGAGGGCCCTGGAGGACCCAGCTGCACACATCCCAGGCCAGGGTGACGCTGCCTTTGGAAGAGAACCACATCCTAACCTGAGGCTGAGCTTAGGGCACTGAAGGCTGGCAAGCCTGGGTTTCTACCTTGGATCCCGCATTTCCAGCTGGGTGGTCCTCTCCTCCAGGGATGAAGGTATTGATCCTTCCATGCTCAGCTCCCTGCCTGGACCGTAGAGGAGAAAGAACCGATGCCCATGAGAGGAAGAATCCTCTCCCACCCTCTCACCTTTCTCTCACCTTTGTTCCCAGAGTCACTCCCAAAGGCCTGGGGGAAAGGCCAGGCTCGGCCAGCGGTGGAGCCGGAGACTGGGTGGTGACCGGCATGCACTCTCATTGCAGGGAACAGCAGCCTCCTCCACACCGAGCTCTGTCAGAAGCATTGGCAGGACCTGCCCCCCAGTAAGTGCCACAGCAGCACCCAGGACACCCGGAAGGAAACCAGCAGCATGTGGGGTCTCATGGTGGTCGCCCAGCTGCTGGCAGGCATTGGGTCAGTGCCCATTCAGCCGTTCGGGATCTCCTACGTGGACGACTTCTCGGAGCCCAACAACTCGCCCCTGTACATCGGTGAGTCACAGGCTTGAAGAGGGCTGCAGGGAAGGGTCAGGTCCTGATCTGACACTTAAGCTCTGAGGGGCTGATTTGAGGTCTTAACCCTCTTAGCCCCACAACACAGCAAATGAGTGCAGAGGTTTGGGGATCAGACAGACCTGGTTTGAATGGCAGTTCTGTTACCTATCAGCTATGGGAGCTGTGCAAGTGGCTGAGCCCCAGGGCCCCAGGTTCCTCACCTGCAGAATGGGGCTGACAGTACCTGTGTGCTGGGCAGCTGTGGGGTTACATGAGGTCAGGTATGTAACCATTTAGACCCCTGTCAGGCACAGGGAGGCTCCTTGACCAGCAGTAGCTACTGGTGCTGTCAAGCCCTCCAGGCCTGGGCCGGGGCACACATGTCTTTCCGCGTCACCCACTTATGGACAGGTTGGCCCCAAAGAAGCACATGCAAAGAAGATAGATGACTATCTGACTGCTCAAATCCTTCCCTTAGCACAAGCCACATTGAGCGTCCTCAAGGGCCCTGTACTGCAGACCAGGCAGACCACACCCACTGGCTCTGTGGCCTCACAAACTCCTGCCAGGACCTCCAACATGGCCCCTGCACAGACCTTTGCCCTCCAGCACTGCCCTGGGCCGGCATCTTTAAATTTCAGGGAGACTATTTCCCTCCTGACAAATGGATCTCTCTGGCAGCTGGCTGGAGGAGAAACATCTTTGGTTTTGCACATCTTAGGATCTTGAGTGGTTCTAGCACTGCCTGGGGGAAATGCCATAGGTGTGGACTTGTCAGGGTCAGAGGACAGGTGGCCTGACATCTCAGGAATCCTTCGCTAGGGAAGGAGCCTGGGGCTGTCACACCTTCTCAGTTCCCCTCAGCCTCTTTACACTGCTCTTCTTCACAGCCATCTTATTTGCCATCTCCGTATTTGGACCGGCTTTTGGGTACCTGCTGGGCTCTGTCATGCTGCAGATCTTTGTGGACTATGGCAGGGTGGACACAGGTGAGTGTGTGTGATGATGCCTATCCCATTGCCAATTTCACAAAGCAGTCTCCCTGCCCCTCCCCACCCACCTCCACCCCTCACTCCACCACACCCCCAGCCAATCAGGGCAGAAAGTGAAGCTTCAATTGCAAATGCTCACTGCCACTTGCTCATTCCTGTGCTCACTCCTGCTGTCTTTCAGACAGCCTGGAGCAGATGGCGTGCGCCTCCCCTCCCAGGACCCATGTTGGACTCTAGGAAGAAGCGGGGTGCACTGCTGAAAAAAAGCACACATTTTCTGCCTTCAGGAAGTTTGCAACTCGGGTTAGCTGCAGGAAAACCTTGAGACCTAGGGAAGTTGCCATCACAGCTGCCTGTCTTGGTGGTGGTATTAAAATCATTCCCACCAGCCAGACAGTGTGGCTGGAAGGCAGGTGTGAGCCAGACCCTCAGGAATAACACCTCTACCTGTGCCGGGCACACAGATAAGAGCCTGCCCACCCCACAAAGAATATGGGCAGGTGTTAAACCCGGCCATGCTGCCAGAACCCACAGACTCCTGTCTCCTGGTCCATCAGACCATGATGTCATCTGCGTGATGTCCTCTGCCTGTACTTCAAACCAAAGGGGAAAGCCAGGCGGAGCTTCCTGCCTCAGGGTCAAGCCATCTTTCACTGGCACTGCCTGCATTGGTTCCTGGCTCTTGGTTGACCAAAAGAATATCAACTGAACAGGGATGCCAGTCATTGTTTGGCTGAGGTCCATTCCGCTTCTTCTCCTTCCCTCCATGCCTAGCTAGTTCCCTTACAAAGAGAAACACAATGGCAGGCTCTTAGATGTGGTTGGAGACTTGCCAGGAGAAAGCATCTCCTTTGGAGGCCAGGCAGCCCGCTCTGTGGGTGTTGTTTCCTCGGGCTTCTGAGGATTATGAGGCCTCCTTTCTTACCGGGCAATACAGTTGGGCAGCAATAGTCTTCGGTGGGTTAGAGCTCACGTTTGGACACCAGGAAGACATAGGTTTGAAATTGATCAATAATCTTAACCTTGGACAAGGACATGGTTAACCTCTCAAGGATTCAATTTCCTGATTGGTTGGAAATGGGTGGAATAGCCCCTCCCTCATAGACTTACTGGGAGAACCCAGCAGGATAATAGACGTGAACATGTGGTCTAGTGTCTGGCTCATGGTAAGCCTCAAGAGAGTTACTGCCAAGGATTGGGAGTAAAATAAGGTGAGGCCAAGGTTCTGATCCCTTCAGCCTGGGATTATCTGATGCTCTGCTTCATGTGCGGTGGCCTCCATTTTCTGGGAAGACCAGAATGGCCAGGATAGGGAATGTCATCTTGACCGAGGTTTTTCCTCTTCTCCATAGTGGGGAGAAAATCCCCCTGATCAGAGAATTTCTTCCCAGTAAGGTGAGATCATGCATTCATTCAACAAACACTTGTGTCCTTTGCTTTCTCTTCAGCGTTAATTAACTTGAGCCCTGGAGACCCCCGATGGATTGGAGCCTGGTGGCTGGGCCTGCTCATTTCCTCGGCCTTCTTGATTTTCACCTCCTTCCCCTTTTTCTTCTTTCCTCGCACAATGTCCAGAGGAGTGGAGGTAAGGTTCTGAAAGCTCATAACTCTAGGTATAGGAGTTTAAGAAAGGTAGGTGAGGGTAGAAAATAAACAGATCTGAGAAGCTGCAACAAGTTAAGCAAGTTCTGAGTGAAATCTAAATAAGTGTCATGATGCAGGATTCTCAGAGGCCTTGAGAGGTAAGAGTGCTGGTGAATTTCCAAAAGATGATATTCCAACAGTGTGCCCTTCCCATGATAGCATCCAGGGATGTAGTTAGGGAAACACTGAGCTCATCTAAAGTAGGATAAAAATAAAAGCTGAATATGTGACCTGGTGCAGTTGACTTTTGCATTTCACAGGGCCCATCATGCCTGAAGGACTGAGTAAGAAGGGAGTCCTAATGCTTGAGTGTGAGGGTGGGTTGGGAGTAGATCATAGTTAAGTAGATTGACCTCCTACCCATCTTTCAGTCATGTCCATTGGGGAAAGAAATCAGGGAAGGATGAGAATGGAAAACAGAGATGAGAAGTCTGGGTATGGACTTTGATGGTGGGCTGACGGTTCTAAAACCTGTTTTGATCCCGTGAAGTTCTGAGATGGGGCTACCAGTCAGGTGGCAACATGGTGGCTAGGTTGAGGATGGGATTTAGGAAGGAAGGAAGACTGGAAATCTGATGAGGCCAGTACAGAGACAGGGGATGACGGCTGAGGCCAAGACAGGCATAGACATTCTTCGGAAAGCAAAGGGCACAGGTGTCCGCAGGCTGTGCTGAGTTCTCAGCAGTGACCTGGATTGGAGGAGAAGAGGGGCTACAATTAGACCAAGGTTTTGAGCCAGACACAGAGCTCAGCGCTCAGCAATGCGGTGTATGAGATCTTGGCCCAGTCTTAGGAAGAGGGGGCAGGAGTAGGAAGATCTGGGCTTGTCTTGGGGGGAAATTTCAGAGGGCAACACATCATGGTGGTTTTGGGGTCAAGCAAACCTGACTTTGAGCCTAGTTCTGCGAGTAATAAACTCAATGAATGGTCTTAGGCAAGTTTCCTTGTTCCTAAGTTGCTTCTCCTTTACAATCCGGAGATAGAGGAGGTATCTCAGAGGAGGCTGTGAGGAGTGGGACAGTGGCATGCGAGGCCCAGTGCCCAACGTGGAGTGAGCGCTGAGTGAATGGCCGCTCCTGTGCCTGGTGATGAGTTTCCCTGGAGGACCCACACAGTGTCAGCACTCGGGGCCTTGCATGTGTGGTGGTGTAGAGCTTTAGCTGATGAGTTCGGAAGAAGCAGGCAGGCTCCCCGAGGAGGTATGCACAGAAAGTTCAGGCACAGGGCCAGCACAGAGCTTTGAGCAGGACTCAACTCTGGGCCCAGAAGGAAGAAGGGACTCCATACAGGAGACAGAAAAACAGAGCTGGAAACATACATTCTAGACTACAGTGTCTCAGAAGCCCACGGCCCCCAGAATCTGAGGACAGGGAAGAAACGTAGCCATGACAGACAGGCAAAGGGTGAGATCCAGTCAGACCCTTTTTGGCATTAGTTGTGGGAAAGTTATATATGAAATAACATGCCCAGAGCCATCTTGGGAGGCATTGGCATGGCAGCATTCTGGTCAGCAGCCAAAGCACTGGGCTCACTAAATGCAGGTGGCATTTAGTTCAAGAGACATTCTCTGGACACCCTCCCATCACACCTGCGGTAGCTCACTGCTGCCCAGCCCTAAGCCACTGAGACCAGAAGGGTCAAGGGCCCAGGATTCGTGACTGCGGGGGGCCTGGGCCATTAACACTGATTTCCTTTGCTGCCTTCAGACGTCTACTGCCATGACAGACGAGGCGATGAAGATGACGGTCAAGCCAAGAAGCTCTCTGGTGGATTTCATTAAACGTGAGTGACCCGGCAAAGCCCTGGGTGGGCTGGCTTGGTAGAGGGGCAAGCCGGGAGGGCCCAAGCCTATGAGGTATTGTGTATGATAAGGGGCGTTAAGAATAGGTGGCCTATAATTGGCCCACCTCACAGGAGGGGTTTCGCTAGGAGACACAGATTCAAGCAGAGCCAGCTCCACCTCATGTTCTCTCTCCTCCCTTTACATGGAGGTGAATGTTCTCACTGGTAGTCTTATTTCTATCTACCCGCCTCCTGATTTCTTCCAGACACATTCTCATTTTATTTATTTATTTATTTTTAAGTATGTTTTTATTGATTTCAGAGAGAGAGAGAGAGAAAGAAACATTGATGAGAAAGAAAAATCAATTGGCTGCCTTGTGCACACCCCCTACTAGAGATCGCACCTGCGACCCGGGCATGTGCCCTGTCCGGGAATCGAACCAGTGACCTCCTGATGCATGGAACGAAGCTCAACCAACTGAGCCACACTGGCAGGCCATATTCTCATTTTATTTTACCCATGAGTATGTTGAGTGGGGGGTCTGAGAGGCTGTGTGGCCCTGGTTGGGCCACTGAACTCCTCAGTGCCCCAGACCCTGAGGAAGACAGGAGCGTGGTCTGGAGGGAGGAGGAACGACTGTGGCCCATGAAGGCCTGGCCCCTGATGGTTTTCTGTTTACAGGGTTTCCCCGCATCTTCCTGAGGCTCCTCATGAACCCTCTTTTCATGCTCGTGGTCCTGGCTCAGTGCACCTTCTCCTCCGTCATCGCCGGCCTCTCCACATTCCTCAACAAGTTCCTGGAGAAGCAGTATGGTGCCTCCACAGCCTATGCCAACTTCCTCATCGGTGAGTCCCGGCCAGACCAGACACAGACAGGAGCCAGAGGAGGACTTGCCCAAGACAAAGACGTTTAAGGACAGTTTTCTTGCTTGGCAATGTAGAGTGCTCTGAACAAATTGCTGAGACCCTGTCATTCCAGGCAGGAGTGGGTGGGGGCGGGGGCTGCCTTCCTCCCTATTAGGGACTGGAGGCCTGACAGCCTTCCAGGGGCCCTGAGACAGTAGGGGCAGCAGGGGAAAGAGAGAGCATCAATTTCAGGTAAAATGCTCCCAGTTCTGTTCCTTCTTCTCAGGCACTTGAATACATTTGCTTGGTAGGGAGTATGTGACCCAGGGATTCTGGGCTTTGGCTGCACTTTAGGCTCCTCTGGAAGCTTTAAATAATACAGGTGCCCAGCCCCACCCTACCCCCTCAATACAGCAGAGTCTCTGGGTGGGGCTCAGCATTGAGTTTGTTTGCCAGTGAGGTTGAGAAGCACTTATGTGGGCCCACCAAGTATCCAAGTGAATTACTGAGCTCAGTCCACAGGTGCGTTTGACTATATAGATGGGGCAAGGGGGTCAGGGTGCGAATCCCGACCCCTGTGTGGCCCTTGGATGTGACTTTACTTCTCTAGCTTAGGCCTCTGACTAGCAGGCAGGGGGCACCACCAGAGCCTTGCTAACCTTGTGTGGTCACAGTTAGGATGCAGTGAGCGGTCAGGCAATGAAAGGCACTAAATAAATGCACATTCCACCCACATCCTTCTGGACACAAGGCCCCACTTCTTTCTGTATTCTTTGCACAGGCAGGGTAACCCTCTGGGTCAAGGTAACTCTGTGGGTGTGCCTGGCATACAGTGAGTGCTCAGTGACTGTCAGGTATTGCTACTGTAATGGGGCATCTCCAGTGCTCCTTCAGAAAGTTGTGCCCCTTCTTTGTGCTCGGTGTCTGTGCCCACACCCGCCCCCCCCCAGGCCTGCTCACACAGACCCGCTTCTCTCTCTCTCTCTCTCCAGGTGCTGTGAACCTCCCCGCCGCAGCCTTGGGGATGCTGTTTGGAGGAATCCTCATGAAGCGTTTTGTGTTCTCTCTGCAAACCATCCCCCGGCTGGCTACCACCATCATGACCATCTCCATTATCCTATGTACCCCTCTCTTCTTCATGGGATGCTCCACCCCAGTCGTGGCGGAGGTCTACCCACCTAGGTAACAGAAATGAGGGGTGAGACGATACCCTTTGCTAAAGGCCAGAGCCTGGGTCTGGCTGCCATACCTCTTCCTTTCTGCCTTCTTAGCTCTCTTCCCTCTGTCACTTCTTGACCTAATCTCTTATGTGGATACTTAGAAAATCAGGTCCTTGAATACGATGCTGAATTATAAGAAGTCAGAGGGTCCTACGGGGCCACCAGCAGTCAGGGTTAAGATTCTGTTTTTTTTAAGAAACACCAAAAACTAATTAGTTTGGTTTCAGGGTGACTCTGTAGGGCTGTGAGCCTCAGGAACCAAGAAATAAGCTATGTTTGGCATCAGCTCTGTGCCAGCCAGAAGTAGAGTCTCACTGAGCTGCTGAAGAAAGATGAGAGAAGGAGACTTGAAAAGATACGGAAAAGAACAATGAAAGTGATGGCAGACTTTTAAAATGAGGGCAGGTGAAGCATACCTGTCCGTTTGCATAAAGCAACATGGTCCTAAGTTTTAGGTCGGGCTTCAGGTTCAGAAATAACTTTAGAGGCTTGTGAAGGGAGCTTTTAGCTTTTTCTTGGGTGCTACCTTTCAAGCACCTCTTCTTTTAAATTTTGCCTAATGAGGTTACAACATTGGGAGACACCGTACCTTTCAGCCTTGGTGCTTTCTCTGTCTCTCTCTTTGAAATAACCTCTTCTGTCTTTGGTGGGGGAAGGAGAGCAGGGGTGTGGTGACTCAGGGTGGGAAACCTCTGGTTTGTATTGGTCTTCTGCAGGCTGACTGTGGATTGAGAGAAGCTGAGAAGGCCCTGGGCCTTTGGGTGTCTTCACTGGGAGTTAGCGGGTTTTGTCATCCCTTCTGACGCAGCCCTTATAGTTGGGGAAAGTTACTTATCTAATCTTCAAATCTTCAGTGTTCTTATCCATAAAAGGAGCATAATAATTATAGAATTATTGTGATGACGTGCGTGACAAACCCCTGGGCACAGTGCCTGGCGCATAAGAGAGGCCCCGTTAATGTTAACATCGTTAGTATAATTATTTGAGCAAAGCTCTGGACTGTGGTTTGTCAACCCTATCCCAGACCTCCCTAAAGAAGATCATGAATATCAGGTAGGAGGAATGGCGGGAATGGTGAGATCATCCAGTGAAATCTCCTTGTTTGAGGCTTAGGAGGATGGAGGGCAAAGTCTCCATAGACCAGTGGTTCTCAACCTTCCTAATGCTGCGACCCTTTAATACAGTTCCTCATGTTGTGGCGCCCCCCAATTTCATTGTTACAAATTGAACATAATTAAAGCATAGTGATTAATCACAAAAACAATATGTAATTACATATGTGTTTTCTGATGGTCTTAGGCGACCCCTGTGAAAGGGTCCTTCGACCCCCAAAGGGGTCGCGACCCACAGGTTGAGAACTGCTGATATAGACCAAGGGACAGGAACCAGGTAGACCCCAGATTGCTTCAAGGAGCCCCACCTGTCCCTCCGCCTGAGCCCAGGTGGAGGAGAAGGGAAGGGAAACGTGGCCTGTGACTTTTGTGCAGCATCTGCGCTCTCTCCCATCAAAGTCCTGCTTGGTTGTTTGTCTTGAGCACTTCTGCAGAGGGGGGGTTGGGGAGGGAGGGTTTGCCAGCGGAGCCTTTCTGACTCGCAGCTGGTGGAGATGGGCTTCTAGTAGCGGAAGAAACGGTGAGGTGCCATGAGCACTGACCAGCAGCCAATTCACCGTCGGCCCCAACAGGCGTAATTCATGGTGTGGCTGTCCCCAGATGCACCGAGAGGCAGAGCGCACCAGCCGGGTGGGCACTCACACTGGGCCACAGTGAAGAGATGTTTCTCTGGTCTTGCTTTGTTTGAGTCCCTGTTTCCTGTTTTCCTGGCAGCACATCAAGTTCTATACACCCACAGCCTCCTGCCTGCCGCAGGGACTGCTCGTGCCCCGACTCCATCTTCCACCCGGTCTGTGGAGACAATGGGGTAGAGTACCTCTCCCCATGCCACGCTGGCTGCAGGCACATCAACGTCAGCACCGTAACCTCCAAGCAACGGGTAAGGGCAGGAGGAGCCCCACCGGGTCCCTGAGCTCAGTGTGTGCCCTCATACTGCACCTGGGCTCTGGACGGGCAGGGCGCCACCCACACCATCCTCATTGCCTCCAGGCCACACCCGCCCTCTCTTTACCTCCCCTTCCCTAAGGTCATGACCAGATGCCTGCAGCCCAAAGTCAATTAAAGATTGGCCGATATTCAACAAATGCACATTCCTGAGGCTCAGAGTAGAAACCAGCCGGAGCACTCCTTCAGCGGAGACCTCCCAATCTCATCCTGGTGGGTCCTAATGGGCGTCTTTGGGTCCTGCATCCTGGCCCTGTTGGAGAGCCAACATGGACCAGGCCCAGATAAGTCAAGGACACAGGGTCCTCTGGGATGTGGCCCTGGAAGGTTAGAGTTGGAAGCAGTGATCAAGGGCATTAGGTTCACCCCCTCAGCTCCCAGGTGTGGCCACACAACTGGCCTGAAGTCATGCAGTTATTTAGGGTCAGATCTGACTTTAGAACCCAGGACCCTGTCTCAGTCTGGGGGCACATCTGCTCAAGGTCATTTACCTCCTGGCCACCAGCCTTCCACACATGTAACCCACATTCGGTAGTTCACTTAGTGAGGTCCTAACAGCCCTCTGAGCACTAGGGCTCCTGGCCTTCTAGGATCAGCCAGCTGCAAACTAACTTGAGTCATCTGTTCAGTTTTTCAACAAACAATGGACACCTGGCACAGCCATGCATGCTGAGGATTTAGTGTGAACCCATCCGACAAGGTTCCTGCTCTCATGCAGTTTGAATTCTATCGAATAAATGCACAAGGTCGTTTTAGAAAGTAGCTCATGCCATCAAGAGAGTTAATGGACAGTGTGCCTGAGGGCCTCCTGTAGGAGGTGACATTAGAACTCAACCACCAGAAAAAAACCCTACGAAGACCTGAGGGTGAAGTATTTGCACTAACGGAACAGCAAGCACCAAGCCCCAGGGCATGGCTGAGCTGGATGTAGGAGAAATGAGAGATGCCAAGGTTGGTGCCAGGCCAGGGAGCAGGCAGGGGCCAGAACCGGACAGGCCAGGTTTAGGAGTTGGGTGTTCTTTTTCCTTAGAGCACTAGGGACCCAGAGGTGCAGTTCCCCTAAGGAGTGGAACGCACCTTCTGCCCCTAAGCCTGTGTGGAAGTCATGGCAAGGCTAGCCCCCACTTCCCATCCTCCTCTCTAAGGATAAGGGAGGCTGCTTCCACAGCCACCTCTGTGGGCAGAGGTGCGTGAGTCTCAGGCAGAGCGGGGACAAGGAGCTTGGACAAGATGTTCTCTCAGCTGCCTTCTAGCCGGAGGAGTCTGTGGTGGCCTCTCTGGTTTCCTTGTTTTCATTTACTTACCTCTGACTCACCTACTTCCAGAAAGAATCCTGACAAGTTTCAAATAGTATAAATCATCATCCCTTAGCATAATATCAAGAAAAAAATAGTAAGTTATAAGAAAATGCCTATAGGCCCGTCAGACACTGCAAGGCGGGGAGTAAAGACCACGTGGGCAGTGGCTCGGTTGTACAATAGTGTTGACCATATGGGCTTTCCGGCTCGAGACGGGACTTCCTTCCCAGCCTGTACAGACAGGAGGAATTCCTCTCTGGCAAAGGCCTGACGGATGAAGAGCTTAGTGAATTCTATTGCGTGTTCTTTGTTGTCTCCCCCTGTTTATACCTCCCTGCAATGAACACACACACAGCATCAACAGCAACCCACAAAGCCACGGCTGCTGGGCATGGGGTAGCCTGGCCCAGAGAAGAGCCCTCCCAGTCCCTGGTCCCAAGCCAGGTGGGCCTTGCCTGGCAGTGGAATCCTGCATATACGGATGCGGGTGCACCTGCTGGAGGAGCCCAGCCCACACTGGACAGGGGTCAGGGGTGGGGTCCATGGGGCACCTTGAAACCCTCGGCTGACCTCTCCAGCCTCTGAATCCAGCCCCACCCAGCTCCTCGGGGGACCCAGAAGGCAGAGGGGTTGAAACCTGAGGGACTGTCTGGCAAGAGCTGGTGCAGGTGTTTGATGTGTGTGCAAGCAAAGTAATGACGTTTTCTCTTTTTTCCTCTCCTTTTTCAAGATCTATTTGAACTGCAGCTGTGTGACCGGGGGATCTGCTTCAGCAAAGTCAGGATCGTGCCCCATCCCCTGCGCCCACTTCCTGCTCCCGTCCATCTTCCTCATCTCCTTCGTGTCCCTCATCGCCTGCATCTCCCACAATCCCCTCTACATGATGGTCCTGCGGTGAGTGCACCTCTCCATCCCCCCGTTTGCCTTTTCTTTGTGCCCAGGTGACCACTGATCTCTCCTCCCTTTCCTGGTCCTCAGAGGCCTTTGAACATGATGTACAATGTTCTTTGGGTGAAATGGGGAGATGATGCTAACACGACAGTGCCGGGCCCCACCTGTGCCAGGCTCTGTGCAGAGCTCCTCGCTACATCGCCTCCTCCCCCAGCTCTGTGAGCACCTCCATTCTGCACATGGGGAGACCACTAACCCAGGAGGGCAGAGCCAGAAACAGCTGAGCCACATGCTAAAGCCAGGCTGCCTGACTCCATGCTGTGGAAATACCTGGAGATTCACTTATTTTTAAATCCTGAAAGAACTGAGAGGAGGGAGGCAAATTCAGTTGGACATATGAAATTGGGGATGGAAAATCAGGAGAGTTCCAGAGATAGATGAGGGCTATGGAAAAAGATGGGAATGATACAAGTCTAGTGCAGGGGTGGGCAAACTTTTTGACTCGAGGGCCACAATGGGTTCTTAAACTGGACCGGAGGACCGGAACAAAAGCATGGATGGAGTGTTTGTGTGAACTAATATAAATTCAAAGTAAACATCATTACATAAAAGGGTACTGTCTTTTTTTTCAATGGTTTTATTCATTTCAAACGGGCCGGATTCAGCCCGTGGGCCGTAGTTTGCCCACGGCTGGTCTAGTGTGCTAGGAGCCAAAACTAAGTCCTCAGGTCAGAAGAGGGAGGCTGGCCAAGGCAGGAGGGGAGGGCAGAGGTGTCCCATTACAGTGGCAGTTAAATGTCTCTGAGGTTTTGACAGGGAATGACCCTTTCCTCACCTCACTCTCTGCAAAGGAGAAAACTTTCCAACCAAGTTCACCTTACTCACCCTGGCCTGCCTCCCTCCTGTCCTCACCTGCCTCACAAGCAGAGAGGGAAAACCATGGGACTTACATACTGGGGTCCAGGGCCCAAGGCCCAGCTCTGCCATACACTGGTTGAATGTCCTTGGGTGTTGCCAACTTCGCTGAGTCTCAATTTCCTCATGTATGGAAGGAGGTTAATGATGTTGACCTCAAAGGATTGGTGTCAGGATTATATGGTAAATTCCTTTGTAAATACAAGGTGCTCTACATATTGGCTAATTATCACTATTAACCTAATAATAATAATAATAATAACAACAGCTAGCGAGATACCAATGACCCATTTTCCCCAAAAGCCTAGGAGCTAAGGAAGAAGCAGAAGCAGCCACTTGTCAGGATCTAGGGTTTTGCCCTCTTTACAAGTTCGCTTGCCAACTACCGAGCTCCTGTTTCTGCTACTGTTTCAAGGATGCTGGCAGAAGACAGGAGACTCCGGGTCAAAGGGAAAGGACTTTGCTACTCACAGCACAGCAAGCAGCATGGACCTCATGCTGCACCATCCATCCTTGCCCCTCAAGTCCTAGGGCGTGACATGGAGTGGCCCAGGTGTATGTGTCACATGCAGTGGGTTTATGTCACAGCTGAGGAACGCTGCTCTTGGGAGAGCCACCGCTTCTATAGACCAAGCCTGCTCTTGGTCGAGGGCACTGGTCGGCAAACTGCGGGTTGGCAAACCGTGCCTTGCGAGCCACATGCGGCTCTTTGGCCCCTTGAGTGTGGCTCTTCCACAAAATACCGACTTCTGCGCATGGGCCATGAAGTTTCAATCGCACTGTACGTGCGCGCCCGCACGTGGTATTTTGTGGAAGAGCCACACTCAAGGGGCCAAAGAGCTGCATGTGGCTCGCGAGCCATGGTTTGCCGACCACGGGTCTAGGAGGTTTTACCTCATGCTTCAAGGTTGCACCTTGCAACCATGACCCTGAGAAGTGGTCCGGGACAAGAGCAGTCAGGAGTGTGTGTAGATCCTCAAGAACGTGTAGGGATTCTCAGAGCTCACGGCATAGTGCTTCTCCTAACACCATCGTCCCCCTCTTTTCCACCACTCCCCATCAAGGGCATTCCACTGCCACTTTCACCTACGGCCCTTGTAGGGGTTCCCTTCTTGCACCCCAAGTCAGATGGACCACGGTAGATGCTCTAACCCTAAGAAAGATCTGTGGGTGGCCATGATGAAGAGAGGGCCCCCCTCCAGGGCGTCTGATTCTTAGGTCTGGGGTGGGGCCTGAGAATATGAATTTCTAACAAGTTCCCAGGGGATGCTGATGCTGCTGGTCCAGCGATCAAGCTTTGAGAACCATTGATACCAAGGACAGAAGCATGGGCTGTGGGGAATCCAGTCTGCCAGTGGCTCATCAGGCTGCATGAGGGCAGGTTCTGACGGAGGCTGGCTGCCCCTGACTGGGGGGAGGCACGGCCAGAGTCCTCCGCTCATCTCCTGTTGTCCTTTTCAGCGTGGTGAACCAGGAAGAAAAGTCGTTTGCCATTGGGGTACAGTTCTTGCTAATGCGCCTGCTGGGTAAGTGTCTGAGACACCCCCTTCCAAAGGCATGGCCCCAGGACATCTGAGGGCAATGGGGTGCAGGGCGGGGATGGGGGAGTCCTCTCTCATCTCTGTTGTGATGAGAGAAGCTGTGCATGATCAATACAACCCCGAATGTCAAAATACTTTATGGGCAGTTTCCTTGGTACTTGTGGTTAAGAAAGAGTTCATCTATGGCGTTCATTCCCAACTAAATTATGTAAGAAAAGGGAAAAGCAGACACAACTGAGCATACCTAATAAAGAATTGAAAGTGGGTATTTTTTTTAACCTCTCTCTCAGAACTCACCATCAGAACACAACCTTGCATTTCTGTCCCAGCCAGAGTGGCAGCTGAGCTCAGCCCTGGTTTCCCTCCCGTTTTACAAAATTCACTCCCACTGCCATTCACAAATGTTCCTCGGTGTATGCGGGGTCCAGTGCGAGCAGCCCAGAGCCCGCGGAGAAATGGGGCAGGGCACATGCAATAGTGCCCACAGGAGGGCGAGCGGCCTTCAGGAGCAGGGCACACACCAGCCCTCCCTCTGGTGCAGGGACTGGAGCAGGGACGTGCGTGGGTCTCACCCCCGCACTGCAGGCTCATCCCCAAACTGTTTACGCTGAACTATCCCTTCTCAACACATCCGGGCACTAGGTAAACGAGGCACTAATACGGAGAACCTTGCAGGCTAAGGAAGGAAAGGGACCAGGTTCAACTGGTACAGCGGTTCTCAACCTGTGGGTCGCGACCATCGGAAAACACATACAGCATATCAGATATTTACATTACGATTCATAACAGTAGCAAAATTACAGTTATAAAGTAGCAACAAAAATAATTTTATGGTTGGGGGTCACCACAACATGAGGAACTGTATTAAAGGGTCGCGGCATTAGGAAGGTTGAGAACCACTGGTAGGACCTAGCGGGTGAGCACTGCAGGGAGGAGTGTGGCAATTGCAGCGGAGGGACTTCAGTTACTATCGAGGGTACTTTCTGACCTCAAACGCTGAGCTTCACAGAGCCCACTGCGAATTCTTACCCGGGAGCCAGGTCGGCACTTGGCCCTGCAGCGCCTTCCATTATCATTATCATTCTGGGGAGTGTCGGGGTGTGACCTCCTGGGCCGCCTGAGTGGGAGCCTTTGCAGGGCCCTCACCGACTGAGATTGAGTGAGGTGCTCAGATGGTGAAGCATGAACCAGCTTCACAGAAAGCTACTCTGCTTCCCAAGGTTACAGTGATTCCTAGAGGCAGGGCAGAGCTGTACTCACACCTGTAACACACAGGGGTGGGGGTGGGGGGGCTGGCTCCCCACCTTGCCAGGCATCTCTGCCGGCAGCTCCATGTGACCTGAGCTCTCTGAACTCTCTTCTGTTGATGCCAGCCTGGCTGCCCTCTCCAGCCCTCTACGGCCTCACCATCGACTACTCCTGCATCCGGTGGAACTTGCAATGCTCAGGGCGGCGAGGGGCCTGCGCCTACTACAACAACGATGCTCTCCGAAACAGGTGAGGGCCGGCACGTCGTGTGTCAAGAATGCCTGGCGCCAGGCCCCAGGCCTGAGCAAAGGGCCGTCATCTGTTCTGGTGGCTGTTGTGGGGGCTGTCAGGCTTCCGAGGGAGAAGACCAGAGGGGAGCTGCCATAGTCAGGGAGCAGGGGCCACCGGTGATGGGCATCTCAGGGCTTGCAGAGAGCCAACTAAGCAACAAGACTTGGGGCTACTCTGATGTGATCCCCCAACCTGGGATCCCCAAGGCCCTTGGGAGGGACAGCAGCAGAAAGAAGTGTGTCCAAGGGAAAGGGGATGGTTGAAGTCCAAAGGCGAGGCTGTGACTGGAATGGTGATACCAGGCCAGCCTGTCACTGCTCACAAAGAGGCGGCCCCATCACAGCTCCTAAAGAGGTCAAGGGCAGGTGGGTCCAACCTGCCTCTGTGGGTCTGAGCCCAGCTACAGTGCCACTGAGTTCTGTACCCCTTCCAGCCACCTCACCTGCTGCCATCATCACACAGACCAGAAACAGGGAGGAGAGTGGGCTTGAGGGGGGGGGGGGGGCTCTGGGAATGGTGTCGAGTGAAACAGAAGGCCAGGAGGGCAGTGAGAAGGTGCCCTTCTTCTGGCTTGCTGGGAGGAAAGGACCCTCAGGGCTGGCTGGGCTGCAGTGTTCCTTTGGCCCTCTAGGGGGCGGCGGTGCAAGGACAGGGCCACTGGACGAGGCTCAGCCTGCTCACAGGGAGGCTTGTACCCTTGCGGATCAAAGGAATGGGGAAAATAGTCAACACCTAGGTGGTGACAGAGCCTTACCTGAGTCATGACAACACATTCCCTGGGCCGCTGGGAGAATGATGCTGCTCTTCCTGTTGGCCCTGGGGCGCAGGCTACAGAGCCTCCACAGCCCCTCACCCGTCCTGTGTCCTCCTGCCCACAGGTACCTGGGCCTGCAGGTGGGCTACAAGGTGCTGGGCACGCTGCTGCTCTTCTTCATCAGCTGGCGGGTGAAGAAGAACAAGGAGTACAACGTGCAGGAGAAGGCCTCGGGCCTCATCTGAGCGCCTCATCGGAACCTTGGCCCTTGCCTGGCACTTCTGGCTCCAGAGCGTGGACCTGCCCTTCCATGCCTGCCTGTATTTACTAATATTCATATGTCATTTCCTTTTTGTTTTTTAAATAAGAAAACAGCCCCAGTCACCATTTGCCTTCCCTGCCTCCTCCCAAAGGCTCCCACTCAGGCTTACTGTGCTCCTGGGCTGGGTGGGCACAGAGCTGCAGGGCGGGGTCTTCACTGGCTCCTTGGGAGGGACCCACATGCCCACGTGCCCCTCAGTGCTGGGTCCTCCAGAGAGGATGCCCCCGGGGCAGCCCTGACCAGTCCTGTGGGGAGGGAATGGAGGGTCCTAAGTGGAGAGATAAGGGGTATCTACCCAGAGAAAGGAGGGAGTGGGCTGAGTGGGCTAGGGGATGGGGGAGCCTGCCTGTAGCCCCCTTTGCATCTGGGTTCAGCATCAGCACAGAACACAAACAGGGCCGGCTCCCCTGCTCTCAGACCCTCCTTCCTGCCCCCAGAGGCCATTGGGGAGCTGCCATGTTGGGAAGTTCAGCCAGCTGGTCCCCTCCAGTTACCACACTCAGGCACTAGAGCAGGGACCCAGACACCCAAGGATAGGCCATCCAGATACTGTCCACGTTAATTCTAGGCCCTTCTGTACCTGGGCCCGTGCCTGTTTGTCTCTGTCTTTCTGGGGGGATATTTCAAACTATGAAAGCCACACCACCGTGAAGACCCAAGGAAGGCTGTGCAATGGTCCTGCTGCCCAGCCCCCCACCCCCACAGTGTGGGGACAAGACCCCTCATCTCAGACGGGTGGGAAGACCCTCTGCCCGTTTCCCTGGGAGCAGATGAGGCAGCTTCCTACGGGCTTCCCTGTCCGAACTTCAGATGCCACAGAATAAAGAGAGGCAGCCCAGATGTCAGCAAAGCCGGTGACAAAGCTGAGGGAAGGTCCAAAGCTGCCAAGCTGGGTGGTGAGCTGCAGCCCACAAAACAGAGGCTGGCGAGGTGGACTTCCGTGGTTTCACACACACTTGTTTTCATCAATGTTTTCTGGCCTCATCTCACTGCCTCCAGAGGTGGCGCCCTCTATGGCCTGAGTCGATACTGCAGCCGTGCGGTAGAGGTTCAGCGTTAGAGCCAACACAGGAGGCCTTCCAGCCACAAATATATGTGTTGGACTTCCAGCCCGGCAGTGCTAGTACAGGGTTCTCCACCGAGCTTCACTGGGATCCCACCTGCCCTCTCTCCATCCACACGAGGGCTTCCTCCCAGAGTGTGCAGCGGGGGGAACGGGGAAGGCACAGCAAAAATCCGGAGATTGTCAACAGGATCTTGGCCGTCCATGGTGCCCAGACTGACCCTGCGCGTGTCCTCTGGGCAGCTGGGCACTGGTCACTGCCACATGTGCATCTCTTAAGGCCACTCCTCATGGAAGACTCTTCCAGGAACATATCAGAAGCGACCTCTGCAAAGGCCAGAAAATTGTGTCAATGGCCAAACTGCCAGGAGACTGAACTCGGTGAAAGCCACGATCACAGCAGCCTTATTTCCAAAGCCACCAGCCTTATTTCCAAGACCTCACTCAGGAAGGGAGGCTCCACACAACCTCGGGGGCCAGGTTCAGCATTTAAAGTGGTCCTGCTTGGAAAATGATTCCCTGCAACTAACACTGGTCTTTCTTGCCACAATTTAAGCTCTGAAGGCACTGCCGTCTGCTGAGTTCATGAACAGCGAATGCCAACCTTCAGATTCTGGAAGATCAGTCGCCCTCCCAAGCCTTTATTCTATGGTGATGTTGCTATTAATATATTATAATTTTGCTATTGACGTAAGTTGGTCATGAATTTGTACTGTCGTGTGTATCTATCTGTCAGAGAGCAGGCAGAACCTGCACCTTCTGGCCAGAGGACCCTCAGGGGTCCATGGTCATGGGGATCAGAAATAATGCAACTCTCAACCCATCATCCTGGTCCAAAGCAGACAGCAGGTGCTTCTTGCTCCTTCAGTGACATCCTGCAGGTAACTGTCAAAGGCCCATAGTGCTGGGCTCTCAGAAGGCCTGATCCCGGCCCTTGAGTTAATTTCCAAAGTGGGTTTGTCGTGAACAGCTAAGTCCATAATATAAAACAGAATTAATATCATAATCATCATTGATCACTTGGTTGCAGCCAATACTACCACTCCCAAATCTTTCCTCCCAACTGCCAGCGGGGAATATAATGGTGTCACCTTCATTCCACTTCTACAGCAAAGCTTAACACACTTCCTTGAGTGCCAGACTCTCACAGAGGATGCTGTTGACATGCAGATTTCTAACTTCCTCCACCCATCCTCAGAGTCTATTTATGGGTGTCTGAGGGGGACCCAGGAGTGGCACTTTAACCGGATCCTTGTGTCAGGCTGATGTGGGTGGTTGTGAAACCTTGTGTGGCAGGTCCACAGTGCAGCCCTGCTTTGGGGATGCCCGTGTGTGCTTAGGCCACTGAGAAATTGGATAGGTCTTTGGTGAGCCCAAATGGGAGTGAGGGATGACAGGGTGAAGGGGTACCAACAAATCTGATTTCCTGAAGGGCTGCAGTCAGGAGCTAGTGGGCATGTAACACAGTCCAAGAGCTCACATTTATTGTATTGGGCTCTTACCAGTACTGAGAGTGGGATTCTCACTCTCCAAGCTTGAGAGTACAAAATGTGTCACAGTTATTTCTTTAAATCAGTTATGTCTGACTTCAAACCCTCACTCATCCTGCTGGCTGGCTGGCAAGTCCATGCCAGCCGTCCTTGGGGCTGGCTCCCAGCGCCATCTGTGGGCTGTTGGGTCCTGCCACTGTCGATCTTTGGTTCTTTCCCAGTCTGAGGCCCCCTCCCCTGCTTCTCCCCTGAGCCTGGAGACACTGCAGAGACCAGATTCCAGCTTAGAACCATCTCCCTGTGCACATACCACCAATGCTGTCCTCCCTGGGCAGTCCTAGGCAGCCCACCCCTCCGCTCCAGTCCTCTCCCAGTCCCTCAGGGATGAACAAAGAAGCCAGGAAAGGAAGGGTCTGCAGGAAACTTTTTATCCCATCCTTCCTTGAACCTTCTTGGCAAAGAGAGGAAAATGCAGTGAGAATTGAATGCCATGTCTCCCTAAATCACTCTTTGTCTCAAAGCCCTCTACGGTGCTCCTCACCATAGCCTCACAATGGAGACCAGACCGATCTTAAGGCCCCATTTGAAGAGGAGGACTCTGAAATCAAGGCAGTAACCATTGTGGCCAACTTCATGCAAATAGTAACTAGTCAGACCTGAACTCAGACCAGGCTGTCCAGCCCTCTCTGCTCCAGCTCCAGCACCAGCTCTGTCTCCCCTGCTGAGTTATCCTCAACTTGCGAGGAGGCCCCTCTATTCCCACTGAAGTTCACGGGCCCATGGGATGGAGGTGAGGGAATCTACTGAGGGCCACGTAAGATGGGTCATGGAGGTGGGGAGAGCCAGGTAATAGCTCACTTACCCACCTTCTTACTTCTTCAAGTAGCCAGATCATTACGACTGTTCACTAACCAGGGTCACCTAGCCCTACAGCACTGTGAGTTAAAGGAGAGTTGCAGAGAAAGGGGGACAAAGAGGAAAGGCTGCAGGGAGACAAGGCCCTGAGGATCTGCACAGGGACCTTCAGGGGAACACTCCCACCTGGTGAGGGTTCGCAGCTTCTTGCTCAGGAAACAAAGCCTCATTGTGATATCTTTTTCCCAACCAGCCTCAGAGATGGAGAGATGCATTTAAGCTGGGACTGAATCCAGTCGGTATCAAATTGATATTAAAATATTATATTACAGATTCCCAAAGAGATTGGCAGAGTGTGTGTGTGTGTGTGTGTGTGTGTGTGTGTGTGAGAGAGAGAGAGAGAGAGAGAGAGAGAGAAGAGAGAGAGAGAACTCCTATCTTTTATAATCACAGGAACTAAATACCTGGGAGAAATGTCTGTCTCCTACCAAGAACATCAGAATCATTATAACCTTCCTCAGAGATTAAATATGTAAACAGGTCCTGGGCAGGCCTTTGGCAAATCCTAAGTGAGAGCAAGTTTTTCTCTCAGGACACACCCTGCCCATTCATCCACTCTTTACCTGCCCATCCCCACTCCGGCACAGGGCTCACCCTGTCTTGCTGAAGTCCTTGCCCTCCAGGCACCTGCTGCTCCTTGACAATAATAATTGAAATGTGTATAGATCTTTACAGTTCACAATGCCATCCATTTAGCAAACTCCTTTAAGGGTAACTCAGTCAGATAGGCTTGGCCTCGCTATGGAAACAAACCTCACTCATCTGTCACGTGACACAACAGGAGTCCATATCTTGCTCAACTGAAGTCCACTGTGGGTCCAGGTGACTCTCCAGGGCAGTGGCCTCCACATGGCGGCTCAGTAATCCAGACCGCTTGGATCCTGAGGTCCCTCCATTTCATATCGATGCAGATAGATATGTAATTGAATTCAGAGAGAAAGGGAGAGGGAGAGAGAGAGAAACATTCCAGGCAAAGGTAAGGCAGCAGGAAAACCTGCGCAAGTTCTGAGAATTCACTGCCCACGAAGGTGAGGCCTGGAGAGGCAGTTAGGTCCAGGCTCAGAGGCTCCTACAATGTCTTGAGGGCTGGCTTACACGAGGCCAGCAAAAGGAGGGCCAGCCTGGTCCTGATCCTGGGTCAATGCATGGCTACCTCTTCCCACTCAGGGCTTGGAGAACAGCTCAGAGCCCAACCAGTGAGTCCCAGGAGGCACTCCTGGCTCAGGGTGCCCTCCTGGAGCCTTCACTGGCAGGAACCCTGAGTGTGCCGTGCTGTACCCTGGAGGAGCTGTCCTCTGTCCTCCCTGCACACTCACGGGGAGCCTCCACCTCCACCTCACATGCTTGCAGGAACCTCCCTCTTGGCCCAGGCTGTCCCATGCTCTAAGGCCAGGGTGGAGTGAAAGCTGCTCTATCCCTTCCCTTCCCTCCCACCTCCTCTCTCCCCACATCTGGCACTGGAACCCCAGGCTTGCAGCTGGAAGTCAGGAGACTCAGTGTCAGGAAGAGTGGAACAACTAACTTAAAGGGGCATCTATTCAGGCCCCCAGGTGTGTTGCTCACCCCCTTCTCTTGGCTCTGTGGCCCATTGACGTGCCGTACACCAGGCATCCCTTTTTATGGACACCAAATCCGTAAACGTGGCCTTGGAGGTCCCAGGGGGTGGCAGCAACATTTGTTTAAAACTTGGTCCTCGGTACCCCTCACAGCCTGGGAGATGAGGATGAGGCAGAAGCTCTGCCTTGGCGCACAAAGGGGAAGGACCCAGGCAGGTTTCACACTGTCCCTGACTATTGGACCCGAGCCCCTTCCCCCAGACGCACGGAGTCTCCGGAAGGGCTCCTGAAGCCCCTCAATAGCTCAGGCGTGCTGAGCGCTCAGACACTGTCCTAAGTGCTTTCCATACGTTTGTGCCTTTGATTGTCACCAAAGCCCTATGAGATGCAGTGATCACACCATTTCACAGGGCGGGAACCCTTCGCTCCTTTTCTCTCATTTCCAAGGAGAAGGAGGCAGAGTGGCAGTCGGCCACCAGGGGGCGCCGCCTCATTGGCAGGAACCCCGCAATGAGACGAAGAAGGAGTTGCCACGCCTGCGGGCGAAGGGACGCGGGGGAAACCGGCTCTGCGTCCGATCCTACAGTGTTGTCCCCGCCCCGACCCCCCCACCCCACCTCCCACCCAGGCTACCCGGCCCCAAGCCTCCGACAACCCACCTTCCCCGCCCGGCGCGCTAGGTCCTGCGGAGCTTCCCCCGCGCCGACTCCATTCCCACGTCCCCCTCTTCTAGCCACCCCAGCGTGTTCAGAGTCTGAGCTCGCCCGCTCCTGCTCACCGGACATGATCTTGAAAGATTTTCCACTCTCCCTCTCCCGCGACAAAGCACCACTTAGTCTGTCTGTATTTACAGGACAAACATGTAATTAACACATTAGAGTGCCAGCGAGCACACACCGCTTCCCCCACGCCTTTCGACCCGTCGTGGGCAGGGTAGTCACCCAGACCACAGTGTGTCCTTACAGGGGGCTCAGGTAGCCTCTGATCCTTCGTCCTCCAGTTCCCAGAGCATCTCCTGGAGCCTGGCCCTGGGTTAGGAGCGGTCTTCAGCGAGAGACCGATGTCTGTATCTCCGGCACTGCCCACTGTGGGGAGTGTCCAAGTGCCCATCCTGTCACAGACTCAGGCACTGGGCAAGTGCTGGGCACCAGGCTTGTGGGGTGAACAAGACAAATAGAATCCCTTCCCCCTTGGAATTTACAATTTGGGAAGGAAGACAGACAGCCAACAAGGCACACCAGTTGTGTGGTTACCCATCCCAGGTGCAATCGCGCCGGGAAGGAGAAGTGCAGACAGACCGATGGATACCTGCATGGCAATGCAGGGGTAAATGGGGGCATGTGATGGCATCACCAAGGTGATAAAGGCTGGTTCCCTAAGAGATTGGGGATCAGGGGCAGGAGGGGCAAGTTTGTTAATCAGGGACCTTAGAGCAAAGGTGTTCTGGGCAGAGGGGACTGCTGGAGCGAAGACTCAGAGATGAGAAAGCTTGATGTATGTTTGCATGAAAAACGGGAGGTAGGTAGTGCACACAGTTGCAAGTGGATGGAGGTGAAGTGTGCTGGGAGGGAGGGTGTACCATGCACACCGCCTTTAGTAACTGGGGTAGTGCCTGTGCATGATGGGAGCCACTGACAGACTTTTAACAGAGGCAAGGTGCAGCCAGATTTCTGGGTTTAAAAGGCCAATGGGGCATGTATACTTGAGAAAGGGAGTCTGGCTGGCAAAGGTAGGGAAGGAGGCCTCCTTCTTGCCATCACGGCCACTGAGCAGGGAGAACTGGCACTGGAGATCAGAGCTGGGATGCTCTAGCGCCTCGGTTCTCAACCTGTGTGTCGCGACCCCTTTGGCGGTTGAACGACCCTTTCACAGGGGTCGCCTAAGACCATCCTGCATATTAGATATTTACATTACGATTCATAACAGTAGCAACATTACAGTTATGAAGTAGCAACGAGAATAATTTTATGGTTGGGTCACAACATGAGGAACTGTATTTAAAGGGCCAGAAGGTTGAGAAGCACTGCTAGTGGGTCCAGAGCCAAGGGCAGGACCAGCAAGCAGTGGGAACGTCCCCGAACGTCCTGGTGGCCAGGCTGCGTGCTGCCCAGAGTATGTACTGGTGTACTGAAGCTGGTCCCTGCACCAGAATGTGCTGTTCACAAGGCAGACCGTCTGTCCCTGGGCCCAGAGCAAGGGTTCTAACTGGCCCACATGACATTTATATTCTTAAATTCAGTACAAACATTGGGAGAGTTTGCATCGTGGATTTTCTCCTGAAAACCCTGGGCCAGCACTCCAGCGTGATAGCAAGGGACTGGAGCTGATAGAGACCTCCCCTTCAGATGGTCCCTATACTCCTAGGGCTGCTAAGGTCCCCAGGTCACTGCTTAGCCTCTGTAGGTATTTGAATTTTCATACATACACACACTCTTTAAGAGTCCAGCTAAACCACGAGAAACCCAGGTGAATGTTGGAAAGGACCAGTGTAGGTCTGGGGGACCTGGAAAAGAAGAAAAGGGCTGTGTTTGTTTTTTAATCCTCACCTGAGGGTATTTTTTTTTATTATTATTATTCATTTTGAGAGAGAGAGCAGGGGGAAAGAGAGAGAGAGACATTGGTGTGAGAGAGAAACATCAACTGATTGCCTCCCCTACCAACTGGGGATTGAACCCACATCCTAGGTATGTGCCCTGATCTAGAATCGAACCCACTCCAACCAACTGAGCCACCCAGCCAGGGCTTGCATACATTTTTTTTTTTTCAAGGAAGAAAGCTTATGATTAAATGTCTTATTCTCCAAAGACTCTACTTAGTTTATACACTCTCAGATTAATTATAACATGGTCAGAGGAGACATAGGCAATGACTACTTGTCCAGGGGTTGTGAGCAAACTTAATTTCCTATCATAAATGGAGTTTGCAACTCTAAATGAACACTTTTTTTTTTTTTATAACAAGCATCTTGATAACTACACTTTTCCTCTAACAAACATACAAAATAAAACAAGCATTGCTATTTCTAAGGATTACATTCCAAAGAGAATTAACAGTAAGCCTAGAGTTAAACTGTGAAAGTTTAGAGAGCATGCCTGCCAATAAAGTCCTCAAGGTAATGATGACAAGATTACAGCAAGCAGAGAATTAATTTTTTTAAAAATTTCCCTCTTATATGAAGGAAAACCAGTATGAGTTTTATAAAAGGAATGCATACTTACTATAAATTATTCAAGCACTCCTAGAGGTTAAAAAATTCAAATGCCACTGCTCATAAATAATTAGCAGTTAAAGGGGTATCATTCTAGAATCTTTTCATGCTTGTGTTCCAGAAAAGCAAAACAGGTGCATTGAAATATTTTGATAAATATGTGATTGTTTTATATATACTATTTGTAATGTTATTGCATTTCATTTTATTTGTATATAAAACTTGAGAAAGGAATCTGAAAGAATAGTAAAATTTCAAATAAATGTTTATTAGCCTCAAGAGATTTTATTTTTAAAGATCCTTCTATAATTACAAAAATACTTTGGAGGAAACAAAACACATTGAGTTTATAGTAATCATTGAGTTTATAGTAATCATGTAAGTGTTATCATTTAACTCCCTGATGTGAAAGATCAGGACATTACATCCAGAACCTTCCTTTCCCCTCCCCCACATCTTCACATATTGTGATATTAATATTTAAAGGCACACCGTGTTTACATTTTAGTTTGTCAAATGTTTGTATCAATATTATTTCACTGTTAAATGTTTCCAAATCTTACCACAGCCTGTCTCTGGCTGCCTAAAAAAAAGAAAAAAACACAACCCAATGATAGAGAAACTGCAGAAACGAGATGGAGGAGTTAATATGAAACTATGACTAACCGCTGAGGAAGCTAACGCTGGGGTGAACCCATGACAAGTTAGGAGGACTCTGAGGTGGGGGAGGCAGGTACAGAGGTGGGAAGATAGGGAAAGGGAGAGATTTTAAGTTCTGTTCATGCTTCTCTCCCACAATATCCCAGGGAAGGTGACTGGTGGCCTCAGCCACTGGCAGAAAGAAATCAATGGCAAAAGCTTGGCTGCTCAGGAATGCCAGAGCCATCTCAGAGCCATGCTGGGTTGAGATTCTGGTAAAAAACAAATGCAGGCTGACCAGCTGCCCAGGCACTTATTCTTCCATGCCATTTCCTCCAATCCCTCATGGATGGCAGATGAGCACTTCAAGGACAGCCGATGTTCTGCTCATGAATGGTGGCTGACCATTCTAAAGATCTTATCTCCTTTAAGTGCTTCTTTCCACCCTGCTCCCCCTCCCCCAAAGATTTAAAGAGGAATCCCAGACTAGAGAATTTTCTCTGTGAAAGGAAAGCAAAAGGGATGTTGAATAGCAATTCTGGAGGACCTGAGGCTCTCCATCCTGGGACTCATCCCCACCCCTTCCTTCACAATCACCAGGAGGGACAAAAACAGACTTTCACTGTAGCCCTGACACATTAGCAGACTGGGCGACTGATAAACCACAAGGGAAACGAGCTTACTAGCCAAAAGCAGTAGAGACCTGAGGAGTAAAACCACCATGAAATATATGCAATCGACTGAACACAATGCACAGATCAGGAGTGTAAAAATACGTATAAACGATATAACAAATATATTCCCAGATATAAGAGAGAATATTGAATAAAATGAAGAAAGAACAAGAAGCAATAAAAAATAAAAATAAAAAAAGAACCCAGTGCCTCTTTCGATGGGAGAATAAGTAACTCATTCAGAACACCAAGAAAAACTAGATACAATTTTTAAAAATATACTTGAAGGTATTGGAGAGAGAACACAGTAGTCAAGGAGTGGACCTGGATCTTGGAGAAAATGGGAATCCAGAAAAGTGTGCTGCACATTTGGACGACTTCTGCCCCGGGGGCATTTATTAATTCAGACAAGTCAGCTGAGAGCTAAGCAGTGTTTTAGTCTGTTTCAAAGGCGTGAGGTAAAAAGTTATAGAGTCTAGGGCTCATGTTGGGATGAGGACCCAAATATCTGTAGTATCGTAAGTCTGAACTGCAAGTAGACCTGCTCTCACAGAGATTTCAGTCCAGCCACAAATCATCTCAGTCTCTGAAACTGGATTCTTAAAAATACCAGTTTGCTAGAATTTCTGAGAGCCTGGCATAAACAAATGCAAGTCCTTAGAGAAAGAGAACAGGTCCTCTAAGTCCTAGGTTTCAAATATGCAAACCTGCTGTGAGAAGTCACTGCAAACCCACCAGAATATCTAATATTAAAAGACTTGCAATATTAAATGCGGGCAAGGATGTGAAATATTCGAACTCTCACATTCCACTGGTGCTTGTTATATTTACAAAAACAAACACGTACAAGAATTTTCATAACAGCGATATCTGTAATAACCAAACATTGGAAACAACTGAAATGTCCCTCTACAATAAATGGATAAATAGACTGATATAGTCACACAATGGAACACTATATAGCAGTGAAAATGAACAGCCCTTTTTAAAAAACTTAGACCACCTGGCGGTAGGACAGTAAGAAGGCAGTTTTGTGCCAAAGCCGGTTTGGCTCAGTGGATAGAGCGTCGGCCTGCGGACTGAGGGGTCCCGGGTTCGATTCCGGTCAGGGGCATGTGCCTAGGTTGCGGGCATATCCCCAGTAGGAGGTGTGCAGGAGGCAGCTGATCCATGTTTCTCTCTCATCGATGTTTCTGACTCTCTGTCTCTCTCCCTTCCTCTCTGTAAAAAATCAATAGAATATATTTAAAAAGAAAAAAAAAAGGCAGTTTTGTAAAGCCTCCATTAATCTGAATGCCTGGGAGAGCTTCTACTCTCGGCGTCAGCTCCTTGCTCTCTGTGCCTTAATGGGTCAGGTAAACACAGAGGCGAATGGGTGGTTGCAGCCCTGACCTCTGGCAGCTCACTCTCCATACACCTAGTTGTTAGGGCAAGGAGTGGTGTTGTCTACCGGCGGCCCCGGGGTCAAGGAATCCAGGGCACTGTCCTCGAGATGGCCGAGATGGCCGTGCAGATATCTAGGGCGTCATCGCTCTTTCTCTGCCATAGGGCAGCTGATTTAGGATAAAATGCGCCCCGTACTGGTGCCTCTTCTCTGGCGGGCCAGGTCCGCTGGGACACCTATGGCCCACCGAGGCGCCCAGAGGAGGGATCTGGGCCAAGAGAATGGCTGGGGGGGTGGGGGGGCAGAGACCACAAGGGGTGACAGCAGAGCCCTCCGCACACACACAGCCCACCACACCCTGGCTCGCCCTCCACCTCCTTTCCTTTGCGCCCTCTCGGGTGGCTGCGCTGTGCATCGGCGTCGCGCGAGGGGGAGGAAGGGACTGGCACTTGGTTTAAAGACCAGAAGCAAATGTCCCCTGACAATTTCATGTCATTCTTCTGGATTCAAAGGAGGGGTAGAGTGGTGAAGACAGACGCAGAGGGGCAACGAGAGACGGCCCGATTCGGGGTCTGCCGGAAGCAGGGCGAGGCGGTTCTCTCCCGCCCGGGTGCGGACTCCGGGTGGGCGGACCGACGCCCCCAGCCCCGCAGAGCCGCGAGCCCCGCATGACATCAGAGGCCGGGGAGCGCGCAGAGCGCAGGCGCCGGCGGAGGAGGGGGCGGGAGGAGACGGAGCCGCGCGGCCGGGAGAGCGCTCCTCCGCCCCGCGCCGTCCCTGCGCCCCGCTCCGCTCGCGCCTCGCCGTCCGCGCCGCGCCTCGGGCAGCCAGAGCGCGCCTCTCACACCGCAGCGAGCGCCGCCCGCCCAGCCCAGCCCAGCCTTCCTCCTCCTCCCGCTCCTCCGCCTCCTCCTTCGCCGCCGCCGGACACGCAGCCGCAGGCCGGGGCCGGGACGCAGCTGGGGCGGCAGGGACGCGCGCAGCCAGCCCTTCCCCCTCCGGCTCCCGCACCGCCGGCCGCCTCCCCGCGCCCTCCTCCTCTCCCCTCCCGGCTCCTTCGCTTCTCCTCCTCCTTCTCTCCCGGCCCCGGCTGCCAGCACCATGTCCGCAGGGGGAGATTTTGGGAACCCACTGAGAAAATTCAAGTTGGTGTTCCTGGGGGAGCAGAGCGGTAAGTACCCCGCTTAGTCTCTCGGCGTGGCGCCGAGTCGTCCCCCGCCGCCAAATCGCCCACCCCTGTGGGACCCCGGCCCCGGCTGGGAGAGGCCCCTCCACGCCCGGGTGGAGGGAGGGATGGGCTCTGAAGGTCGGGGCGGCTCGGGCGGGGCCGGGCAGGGGAGGGACCAAGGATAGAAAACGCTGGGGCCAGAGATGGGGGTGACAGTGGGATCTGGGGTGGGGGCTAGGGGTGCGGGTGCAGGTGCAGGTGCAGGTGCAGGGCAGCGGGGCGGGAGGGCGGAGGCTCGCTCGGCGGCGCAGACCGAGGCGTGCAGGCGCCGGGCTCGCTGGCTCGCTGGCTGGCTCGCATTGCGGCAGCGGCTGCGGGCGACCAGGCAGGTGGCGGGGCGCTGGCGGGGGTCGGGAAGAGGACAGACGCCCCTCTTCGGGGAAAGAGGTGGGTTTGGCGTCTGCCGACCCCCCGCGCAATGCACCGGAGGGGTTTCCCGCGGACCCTGCCCGCAACCATGCGTCCAGGCCCAGAGGCAAAGGGCGGGGGACGGGGGTAAAAACGGACTCCTGCTTCCTCTCGAAGGAGCGAACCTGGGCCATGGGGCGCCTCCTTCTCCTGGCTCATGTCCCCTGGCTACTCCCCTGGACGAAGAAGGTTCTAGACCCGCTGCCCTTCACCGGCATGTGTTAGCCTCTTTAGGGCTCCGGGGTCTGGGCGATGGCAGCAAGGATTCCCCAACGCGAAGCCGATTTGGGGGATGGTGCAGGGGTGCCTCTCGCCCAGAGGCGGCGGTGAAGCCCGGCGCTGGACAGAGAAAGGATCAGGCGACACGCCCTGCCCAGCTTCCCCGCACCCCTCCCGAGAGCGCTGGCAGCGGTTCTTCCCACCCCCACCTCCTAGCTCACCGCCCTTCTTGGGGGAGGGGAGGTCACCGTGGCAGCCGGCCAGGGGCGGGGAGACTGGGGGAGATGCGCTTCCCCACTCTAGCAGCCTCCCTTGGGAAAGCATCTTTGAAACCCAGGTGGGTCCCACGGTGGGAAGTCGGGATTGAAGAGCATGGGCCCCTGTGACACCTGTAGGAAGGAGTGGTTCTCAGAACATCCCTCCAGAGGCCTCTCACCCTGGAGCTGCAGGCCCTGCCCAGCTCTTCTCAGGGAGAAGGCAGCCCCTGGGGGCAGGACTCCCCGCTCTGGCTCTACGGACCAGACCAGTTCACCGGGTTTGTGTCTTTCTGTGCCAAAGGCCAAGATGCAGGCAACCTTGGGAGGACCTGGTGGGCTCAGGGAACACTGTTACTGTGGTGTGTGTACATGTGGGTTGTGGGGGTCACATGGCAGTCCCCTGTCTGCGGCCCCTTACCTGGGATGGATGGTAAGGGGGAAGGGTATCAGAAGGTGGTCAGGCCCTAGCGTGGGGATGGGCATTTCAGAACAAGGACAACTCAGCCAGCCAGCCCTGTGGCCTGGACTCTATGAGTTTCTGATCTTAATAGATTCTGGTTTCAGAGCTCACTTTTCCCCAGGCCTGGAGGGATTTCAGGGTCTCCCCACCCCAGTGCTGGCCTCACTGGGCCCGGAGCCCTGGGAGAGAACTGTGCAGGGAATTCCGAGCTTCAGCTCCTAGAGCAGATTTTGAGGCGTCGCTGAGCCTCCGTTTCTCTTTCTGTGGAATGGTTACTCGAGGGCAAGCCTCTTACTCCTGAATGTTTCCCTAGTGCCCCTCAAAGGGCCAGGACCTCGGAGGGTCTCTATGAACATTTGTTTATTCGTAAAAGGCCAGGGCTTTGCTGAGGAGAATGTCTCGGGTGAGTTTGAGTGGAAACTCAGGGCCCCCTCAGCATCCCTGATGGGCTGAGGCCCCTGCTGAGTCCTGCAGATCCCCTTTTGCTGCTGAAATCACAGAAATTAGAGCTCTGGCCTCAGAGATGGAGCCCCCACCTCCTGGAGTGTTAGGTGGGATGTCTGGGCCCCAGGGATGGGGAGGGCTTACCCAGAATCCCATTGTGGGTCATTAACACTTCTCCTGCTCTCAGTCACTAACATGTCCTTGGGGAAATGAGATGACCTTGAATTGAGGAAGCCCAGAACTGGGGAGTCTTCCTAAGAGAGGGTGAGGGTTGCCACTACCTGGTCAGGCTTGGGGCTGGGTTGGGCGTGAATACAGGGCTAGTTGATTGGGGGCAGGGTTTGTGGGTCCTTGGAACACAGTCATTATGGATGTTAGTCTCTGCTATCAGTGGGATTGGCTATTGGCCACTCTGGCCCCTCCCAGCAGGGAGTCCTAGGCTCTGAAACGCTTCCTCCAACATGGGTGTGTCATTAGTGGGTTACCTTAAGTTTTACAGAGCTTTCGGGGTCCCTGAGCTGGGCAGGGGAATGTGCATCTCTGAGTGTGGTGGGACTGGGGAGTTGCCCCTGCAGCCACTGCTGCCATCTCACCTGAACACAGTTTTGCCTGTGTTGGTCCTTTGTGCCAGCATCCTGTGCAGCCTCTGCAGTGGAGGGAGACCCTGAGCTCTGGCGCTCACTCCCTCTCCCCGCCACCCCCCCACCATCCCCAGCTCTCCCTTCCTGTGTGACCTGGGAGGTTCCCTCACCTTCTCCACACCCGAGACTTCATAGCTGGGCTTCCCTGAATGAGCTGAGTCCCCTGAGAAGGGGCCAAGGGAGGGATCTGGAGAGATGTGGTCTTCTCTGATTTTCTGTGCCCGGCAAGTGTGTGAGGACAGCTGGATTCCAAAGAGGGGTGTCCAGCCTGGAGCCTGGTGACGAGGAGAAGCATCAGGCATCCAGAGATGCCAGGGACCTGGTTTGAGTGGGAAGCCCTTGAAGAGCCACTCACGAGAGAACACCTCCAGCCGGTGAGAGAGCCCCTGCTCCTGGCAGCAGAATGACCTCTGTCCACTGGACCGTGGAATGCAGGCTGGCAGGGTCAGCCTGGCAGTGGGGAGCATTGTGGGGAGGGTGCTGTGGACCCAGGGTAAGGGGTGTCCTTGCACTGGGAAGGCTGTGCAATTCTGCTGGGACTTCGATGGCTCTCTGGGCTGCTGGCCATGCCCCTGCTGATGGCAGTGGTGGGGGACAGCTGGGAGACGCACACCAGTCCCTGACGGGGGTATGTGGTGGCAGCCGAGAAGACAGGCATGGGCAGGTGTCTCAGGAAGGAGAGTGGGTCTGGGGACACATCTTCCTCCTCAGTTCTGATGGCATTCTAAGGGGGCTGAGGTTCATTTCGGTGTGTGTAGTGAGGAGGAGGGATGTGAATATATCGGATGGGCTGTGGCCTCTTCCGAGCTTCCTTCCCTGAGACTCCTCCAGCAGCAAGAAGATTGATGGACACAACAAGTTCCAGCCACTTTCCCAGGCGGAGGCCGGCAGGCCAGCTCCTCCCTCTGACCAGCCGCCTCCCTGCCCTGCCCCTGCCAATTGTGCTGGTGCAGGTGCCATCCACGTTGAGCACAACCTGAGTGGTGTCCCTAGAGTTGTGCCGCCCTGTGACCCTGTGTGCGGCTGCCAGGTGGTCCTTACGGCACTTGTTCACTGCCCCCTCTCTCCCTTCCCTACCTCCCTCTCTCGCCTTCCCTCCTCCCACCACCCATTCATTTATTTAATCAGATCGTTGAGTGTCTCCCCGCCTCATGGACCTTATGGTCCACTGGGGAGTGCAGACAGTTGTGGGGATAATTACCGTAAAGGCCTGTGAGAGCCACGACAGCTGCTCTGGAAGCACATAGAGGAGTTGCTTCTACAGGCAGCCGGCTGGTGCTCCTTTAGGCCAAGTGCAGGGAGTAGGTCCTCCAAGGGTCGCCCCCTCTCCCTGGAGCCTTGTCTGTCCTTCTCCCTGCTGGGGAGAAAGTGTGCGGGGTGGGGGAGCAGGAGGACAAGGGCAACTCTCAGGTGTCTGGCTTGTTAGTACCGGGAAGGGCCTTTTCCTCCACTTCGGTCCCAGTCCTCCAGGGTAAGGAGCCTTCATTGCCTCCACCGCGCCCCCCCCCCCCCACTGTCTGGAGGGGCACCCTCCCCAGCTTAGCCTGAACCCTGCCCTCCTGCCACCCACACCATCCACACCACCCGCTACTACCCTTTGCTGGCCTGGTGGTTGTGCCTGAAATCCATACCAGAAGTTTTTTCTCTCCACTGACTCCCAGACTGGCTGGCTCCCCTGGGCACTCACCATGTTTGTTTTTTCCTGAGCAATTTAAAAAAACAATCACATGCTGCTCTGTGACTTCTGTTATCTCAGTTACTCAGGATTTTAAAAAATGTTTCTTAGCTTTTTCCCTAAATACAAAAACCCTAACTGAATGTGAAGCCCCTTAAGGGCAAAGCTCAGAAGGTTAAGAGGACGAGGGTTTAGTTGTCAGTCCCCTCCCCATCTTCAGGAGGTTAATGATCTCAGTTTGGAGATGATGAGGTTATCCTGCTGTGTGACATTTGCTGCTGGCCCATCAACGGATTAATAGTGAAGGGAGTCACCTGGCTGGTGTGGCACAGTGGTTGGGCATCGACCCATGAACCAGGAGGTCATGATTCCAGGTCAGGGCACATGTCTGGTGTTTTGGACTCGATCCCCATCAGGGGGCGTGCTGGAGGCAGCCAAACAATGATTCTCTCTCATCACTGATGTTTCTCTCCCTTTCCCTTCCTCTCTTGGAAATCAATTAAAAAAAACCCACACAAAACATTTTTTTTTTTTAAAAAAAAGGGAAGGGAGTCAAGGCTGCTTTGAAACAGGCTTCTTCATCCTGACATAAGCCAGAAGACTTACCAGGGACGCTTAGAATCTTTCCCAGACAATTAGACCGTTTAGCCTTGGTTGTGCCCGACTCACACGGTTCATCTCATTCTCAGGATGCCCCCATCCCCACGACCATCTCTGAAGACCTATGAGGAGGCAGTAAGGCCACCAGAGGTGGGAAGGCAGGGACGCATCCAAGCCTGATGCCAGCAGAGCTCACTGTGAGGTCTGGGGTCGATCACCAAACTGTCCTGCACCTTAGG